TTTTTTTTTCCTTTCTGTTGAGGTTAATGAATCAACTTTAAGGTTTCATTTCAGTGCAGGTTAAAATGCTGTGAGGATTTGGCCTGTATAGGATTCGAAATTTGGTTTCCCTTCAAAAATAAGATGTAGCGTTAAAGTGTGATGCACAGAAAAAAGTATTGTGAAAGAGAAGCGTAATAAATAAATTTACTGTAAGACTTTTTGAATAAATAGTTCTTGGGTCTGTTTTCGTTTTTAGGATGTAATATATGACGACTTCACTGCGTGGCTGGAAGGTATTACTCCTCTAAGTTTGCCAGAACAGTGGTACTGGGAGTATGCTGAAAACAGATGGCAGTGTGCTCTATCAACAGCTAATCGTCACTTATATGACGGAAAAATGTGTACCGGTGATGAGCTACTAGACGTACGCAGTTTGGGTACGTTATGTGCATCGGGTTTTGCGCAGTAGTTTTGCTCCTTTTTATCTTCAAAGTGTTTTCAGGAGAATTTAAAGTTATTTTGAAACAATCAGACTTATCTGATACGAAGCGGAGGCAGTTTCTAAGTCGACGAGGAGCGTAATGGTCGTTCATATAACTGGTCTGCTGTGCACACTAGAACGGAGTTACATGTCGAACGCAGCAGCAGTGTCAGCATTGTTTGCCGTGGACTAATTGTTCCTTTGCCTCACTGAGAATGCAGCAGACGACAAGTATTTTACAAAAATCGCCATCAACAGCGATATTTTAGGGCGAATGACGAAAAGTGGGTATTTTGCTCGTGGTGTGGAGCGGTACTTGTTTGCACTGGATGCCGTTTACAAACGGCTTTGTCCAGAGCAAACTGGCGTTTGCGAGGAGTTCTTTGTGAAAGGGCGCGAACAGATTTCGAAAATATTGAAAAAAGCGCAGATTGATGATGATTTTGATATCTATGAGTTCTTGCCGCTTGGCCAAGGTGAATTTTATGCATATTTCAGTTGTATTTAATAAAAATAATTCTCGTACTCCATTAAAAACCAGTCTGGCCATAATTTTTATTGTTTTTCTAACTTGAAAACCGATACAAGTCATTTTAAACTTCAGAATTATAAATATCACAAAAATATCATTTTTCCCACTTCTTTCAAACGTTTTTGAAAACGAACTTCAGGATCATATATGTATCAAAATATTGGAAATTATTCGGCGCGAAGCGGATTCAAGTTCTCCGAAACGTACAAGTACTTCAACATCCATGCCAGCCCTGAAGTGGGCGCATCCTCACAATCAAAAATCGTGTCACAGTGCGTTCCTCCAATTTGCAAATGTTTTCTGGAATTAAAATCAACGAAAATGTCACTAACAACGTTTGAAGATTCCGGAGCTTATGCTGGTTCATACATTCGTCGCATACCCACAAGCGGCGCCTTTCAGCAACTGCACTCTCCAAGTGTAAGTCGACTTTATTTTATTTTCATAAACGGTTTGAGGAAGTAAAGAAAGCAATCAGCATAATTTGGTGGAAAGAAAAGTGATATTGAAAATCAAAATTTTAAATTTCTTGCCTGTTGAGTCCTACTATTTTATCATTATGACCCTAACTAGAAAATAAGATATGTTTGCTTCCCATCAGATGCGCTTTTTCCACCATAACTTTCCAGAAATGTTTGCTTTTCCGCCCGTCCTAACTGCATCACACGGTGAAGCTGCTACGAAAATAGAAAAAAGCTTATCGTGTTAGTCAGTGTTCGTAAGTCTTAAGTGTTTTTAAAATTTAAAATTGGTATTTAAGTCTGCATCAAACTTCCCATTTCAAAGATTTTAAAAGGAGGTGGTGAGTAACTGAGGTGCGTCGCTCTCGCATCCATTTGCTCATGTGTTTAGTCTTTCCACCGCCAGAATTGAATCGAATGTTCCAGATTTTGGACCAACTGACTGCAGGCCAGTGGCGGCTCCAAACATGGAATTATGCCCTAGCTGCAGTAATAACAGTAATGGTAATTGGAGCGTTTGGTGTGCTGCTTCTTGCAATCGTTAAGCTGTACCTTCGAGTCATCAAGGGAAACCAGTCGCTGGGCTTGTCATTGCTTGTCGGTGTTATCATCCTCTACATCACCGGATACGCATTCGTCTTCGAGTCGACCGATATCGTTAGTTCGATTCTCTGGCTCAGTTTGTTAAGCTTTCTTCACAAATAATTTCTCGTCTTCTTAAAGGGCGTATCGAGCGACTGCTCACCGCTTTCGGCAACTACTGAGTTTGCAGGTCTGCCGACTTCGAATTGTGTTACATCCACTGGGCTATGCGTTATGCTTTGGTGTAATGATTGCAAAAGCAACACAGCTGAAGAATGCAGAAACGCTAGGGTTTTCGGACGCCGCTCAGATTAGTTATTGGAATTATTGGCTCCTACTTTTGTTCATAATGGGTGTTCAGATCGCTCTTTCTTCACGGTAATTGAATACTTCTTGAAACATTTCTACCTTGAAACTTCTAATTGATTCCAAGTAAATTTTATACTTTTTTT